GCTTCTGTTGAAGGGGAAAGGAGAAGCAGGAGCCATGCATACAGCAGCAGGAGCTCCCTCTTAAGCAGGCCCATCAAAAACCACAAAGTAAAATACTACTAGAATTCCTGAATTGTTTGTTTCATCTTTTGTTTGGGGTGTCAAAATCATACCTTACGTTATGTTGTGTGCTATCCTCTTTCTTGTTCCAAACAGGCATTGGAAACTGTTTCCTTTCAGCCACTTCTTTTCCAGACAACTTTGTGGGTCTGTCTGCTACTCTCTGATGCCTCCTGTGACTTTGGGGGTCTAAAGCCTGCCTGAATCCTGCTCCCCCTTCCAAATTCCTCAATGGTAAGGTTCTAAACAAACACACCATTACAGTAAACAAGTGGAAAGGGTTCTCTATGTTCCTCCAGGGTAATTTGTAATGTGGCTTGCTGCCATTCCCCCATATTTTCTCCTCCAAAATGTCCTCTGTTTGACCTCTGTTACTGTGAAGTCAATGAAGGTTCAGCCAGCAGCAATGGACCAGTAGACTGAGAAAAAGATAGTAACTCATAACCACCACTTGCAAAGGAGAAAGGCTGATTAGGATTTTGTAGGGATGATGTGAAAATAAGTCATAGAATATTTTTCAAGTAAATATGTTTACAACTGAGGAGGTGCATTTGTTTCCTGTTCTTGTCTGCTGTTGGGAAGTGTTATGAAAGATTTTTAGAATGGGATTTTTTTGGTGTTCTGAGAAACAATTTCAAAACACAGACTGTCTCATTGCTGTTGTAACCTTAGCATCTCTCATAAAGCTCATAAGTTATCCAATAAAGGCACCCCTGAACCCAGATAATAAATAAGTTTAAAAGAATTACACTAATATGTTTATACCTGTAACACAAATGTTATTAACACTTGTAGACTTATAATTCTGATTACTGATTACTTGATTATATACTCAATAATTAAGAGCAATTAAAATGGGATTTCATAAAATATCTACCATGCCAATACATTTATATGGCTTTATCTTTTCTCATTTATATTGTTTATAAACCTAGAATTACTCTTGATTCTCACCAGTGTGAGAGGAATATCTAGATTTTAGTCTATTGCATAGTAAAGTTTTCAGGTGGCAACATGCAATGGAAATTACAGTGAAGGATGTCGATTTCTCATAATATTAATTCTTTCTGCAGCATTTGATAATAGATATAGTATAGGTTGAATCCCCTAAATCCGAGACTCTCTGATCCAGCAACATCCATGGTCAGGCAGGATCAAGGATTTTGCTAGACCAAAGAGCCCCAGCTCCCAAGAGTGAGAGTCAGATGGGAGTCCAGCAGCTGGAAGCCCCACCATCGGGAACAGCAAGTCCCATCCTGGGGAGCCACAGCCAGGAGGGGCAGCAGCTGGGCAGCCAGGGAGCCTCATCTCCAGGTGCTCAGCAGCAGGGCAGCTGGCGGGGGCTCCAGCCCAGCAGGGGGTGGCAGCGGTGCAACAGCCACGAAGCCCTGTCCCTGTGGAGCCCCAGCAGACTGAGGCAGAAGTGGGGCTGCAGCGGTGGGGCTGGGGAGCCCCAGAAAACCTCAACCAGCTGGCAACAGTGTGATGGAGCCCAATGGCAGTGGGTCTGGAGTGGATCCAGCTGGAGGGGCCGTATCTTGGGAGTTTGATGGCAGGAGTTTCGAAGGTGCCGGATCAGGGAGATCCAACCTGCATATTGTTCTGCTTTGGAGATATATCAAGGTTTAATAAGATTGCTAAGAGAACTGGGAAAGATCCTTTTGTCTTTAACATGCCACTTGCCAGACACTATTTGATCACTTACCTTATTCTTTGTCTAGAGTGAAGCTATTAGGAGAGGTCCTGAGACATGGTTTCAACTGTCAGCTATATGCACATGACACCAGACTTCACATCTCACTTGCACTGTTGATAGCAGTGTTACATAACTATTTAGGTGCCTGGCCAAGATTAGCAAGTGGATGAAAGGCAGATGGCTGAAGCTAAACCAAGTCAAGACAGAGATGATTTTAATGGAATGAGGGGAACCTTTTGAAGAACCAGTAAACGGGGTAGCATCTTGCATTTTTGAAGGACTCTGTCCTCAGATTGCCAAATAATTTTGTAATAAGGGAATTTTCTTGGGCTCCTCGTGCTTTTTGGACTACGGATGTAAAATCATATTTAAATTGATTAACTGGTTATATGTGATATTTAACTGGTTAACCAATTAAAAGGAGGGTTGGGGGGGAGGAAGGGAGGGCATACCAGACCAGCTGCTTCAGCCCCCACTAGTTGACCAGAACTGATAATCATCACCTATTAAGTGTGATGCTTACCAGTTAACTTTTCACATCCCTATTCTGAACTTAGACAAAATTAAGTTTGCCATCTGTGTCTGATTTATACCCCTTGCTTTCATTTACTGACCTAGCAAGTGATCCATGCCTTTGCAGCTTTCAGACTTGATTACAAGTTGGACCCTCCTTTGTCCATCACCATCCTGACTGAGGGAATTTGCCAGATCAGGGGAGGTCTCCTGCTACCAGCCTCCTAGGATGCTCCCCCTCCTTGCAGCTGGCTCCACTCTGGCCCCATTGCTACAGGGATCCAGCCTACAGGACTTGGACTTGGGCTCCAGCATGCTGGGACTCCCCTGGGACAGAGCTCCCCAACCGCGGAGGTCCTACTCCCCTCCCCCACTGGACCAAGCATCCCTGGGATCAGCTGCCCCACTACTGCCATCCTCCGCTGGAGATTCCTGGGGACAGCGTTTGCTGGCTGCCCCGCTTTTGCTGTACTCTGCTGGGTATCCCTGGGGATGGGGGTTAACAGCTGCCCCACTTTTGTTGCTGGTTGCCCTGCTACTGTTCTGCCTGGACAGGGCTCCCCGGGACGGGGCTTGCTGGTCTCTCTGCTGTCCCACCCAACTGGGGCTCCCCGGGGACAGGCTTCCCAGCTGGTTCGCACTCCCAGGTGCTGGGGTTCTCTGATCCTGCAACATCCATGGTCCTGCAAGATCACAGATGTTCCAGAACCAGAGTGTCTACTACAGTACATTGTGTGAAGGAATTAGTATGCTACTGTTAAAGCCTTACCTAATCCAAAACATAACAGCCCTCCTCCTTAGCAGTTGCTGCTAAGAATATGGCACCCTTGTGTTCTGCTTGTTACATTGATCCCCATAGGACATTAGGAAAACTTAAAAATTCTCCAGACCTTTTTAAACGAATCACTTAAAAGAGTGGTGCCTCTTGCTAACGAAACACAACTTCCTTCCAGAAATATGCACTATATATAGGAAAGAAGAAACTACCAATAAATAGTTCTTGAGAGAGTGGGAAACAGCTTTCTTGGCATATGGCCCAAGATTAAGGAGGAGGTAAGGATGACTACAAACCTTACTGCCTTCAAAATGAGTACAAAGTTCAGTTCTTCCACAACATCTGCAACAAGCAAGAAACGCGCGCGCACACACGCGCGCGCACACACACACACACACACACACACACACACACACACATATTCTAGCAACCTCTTGGGTAGGAGAGGAAGAATTCTCATCCACCTCTTTAGCTGTATCTTATTTCTAAGTTTGTTGGGGCATATTCAAACAATACTGTGATGGGTGGGTGGTAGAGAAGAATCTAAATAGAACACACTGAAATATTTTTCTCCAAGTCACCCCCGTGCTGCATGGGGAGCGTGGACCCCAAACGGCCACTTGCGCTGCTTGCTCCTGCACAGCGGCCCAGCTGAGTGGCACAACAGGAGGCAACAGCACCACCCAGAGCGAACAGCCAGCATTTCAGTGTTACAGGGTCACAGACATTGGGCTACTATATATATGATGCCTTGATCTAAGAGTCTTGCACTCTAAAATTAGACCAAATTCATGCCATAAGTAGAAAGATAGACATTAGATTATGGAATCTGTCGTGGTAATGGTGGGCCTTACAGCCATCAGGTATAAGATGTTAATAAAACCCATGTTTCCTGTTACAACATTAAACATTTAAATGCGGTTTTGTGACAAGTTTTTGCTGACTTTACTGACATTTTAACAATTACTATTAATCATGTTTTTTAACTTTTTAATAAAAGGACAGGGAAAAAAACAGTGAAAGCATTTACAACTTAAGCAATGAAGTAAGTCTTTCTTTGTAACAGTTTTCCTTGTTTCAATTCCCTTCAGCTGTTTAGTGTCTTTTGGAAATCTCAGCTGTTGGAAATCTTTGCTTGATCATCTTTTAGATAGCATTAAAGATTGTATTAGCTGCACTTTTTTGTGAGGAAATGAGCAAAAAGTTACTTAGTTGATCCTTGAGCTGCTGCTATGTTGTTCAGATATGGTCCTGATTGCTTTAAGGGAAAACATGGTGAACACACATACACAAGGAGATAAAGAATTGTATAGATAAAAAAAAATGTAGCTTTTCTCTCTGGTAATGACTTTCAATTGCAACATCGCTGCTGGGGAAACACACAGCACATGGTCTTATTGCCACTCTGAGATCTGGCAATCTTACCAGCACTGGGATGTTCAAGTTGTTGTTTTTAGTTTGCCTTTCTTGTTCACAGAGTGTCAGAGTTTCAAAATTGTGTTGCCGTGCTTGAGCCAGTCTCATTAGACAAAAGACAAGAAATTTAAAAAAAAGGGAAAGTAAGGTGGGAAAAACATGATATAGTAGGAAAGGTATGATGGCCAGAACCAAAGACTGGTATCTTAGGTGTTCATGAGTTGGCCAGTTCTGAGGTGGGGAAGAGGAGGATGGAGGTGAGCATATATTATCATAGATTATAAATGCTAGAAGTAGGGATGCAGCACCGCTGGGGGTTGAAGTGATTTCCATTATATACAGAGCTAACAGTTTGATTCAATGGCTTTCAGCACCCATATTAGTGAAATTGTTCCAGCTCCTCTGATAGTGGTGCCATCTGTTCCCACTAAAGCTTTCTCTTGTTTGGATCAGAACAGTGAAGGTCCTGTCATGTCGTGGTGCATTCTTGAAGATGGTATGGGCAGCAGCAACCCAATAGTGAAACTTGCTCCTTCTTCTACTGTTCCTATTTAGAACCCTTCCATATAACCAGTGTCCAAGAAGAGGACATTAAAATTAATCGTTTAATACATTTTGGTGATTTCATCTATAAACATTTCTTTCCATTTCTAGAATCTTTCATCTTATTGTTATTTTATTGCAACCTGTGACCTTAGCAGGAATCTTGAAGACATTTGAATAATTGTGGGTAACAATGTTCTCTTTGTTCTTTAAATTTACTTACACATTCAAAATTTTACAAACTTTTTCACAAGCAATCTCACAACGTTATCCATGACACATTTAGATAAACTATCCATATTTTGAGTACTGTAATCCAACCTTGCCTTCTAAAAGTTCTAAAGTACAGATTTATAATTATCCATGAAAAATATACATTTTATTTTCCTTCAAAAGTTATTTCATTTGTGCTTTGTTAGTCCATTGCACATAGCACACCATATTAGTCAAGAGAGCTTAAATTGTAGCTCAATCAGATGTTTACCCATTGTAGATGTGTTGGCGTTCAGTCACTCTGAGCTATTAGCTGTTTTTTTAGATTGTTCTTTTCTCACATCACTAGTATATAGTGTGAATCAAGTTTTCCTAAAATCCAGGAAAGGGAAGGTGTAGGACATAGTCAGTGACAGAAATCTCCTGGAAAATTCATGAAGCCAGATCAAAATGATTCAGCTTGGATGGAAAATACTAATTTTGAGATTTCTTGCTTTCATATGACCATTTTTTAAAGTCCAGCATCACCTGTGGTTTCCTAAGAGATGGTGAAATAATTGTTATTTAAATTGTTGCATAGGAAGCATAAATAGTATTTACTGCAGGCCTAGTATTTTTAAAACTTGCATTATTGGAATGTTTATTTTCAGTTTATAACTTTCCATTTGAAGGTTTTTGAAGTATAGTCATGTTTGTTTCTACCATCTCACGTGAACTTTCTTCATGAGCTGATCTAACAGCACTTGAAACTGATACACTAACTTGACGTTTTAGTATTTTCATTACCCTCCTCTTGTATCCTTTACATGCAAAGAAATAGATGAAAGGATCCATGCAGCAGTTAAAATTCATTAGAAACACAGTGTAATGGAGAGACTTCTGAAAAGTTTGCTGCTCACCGCACAAAGGATTATATTGAAGCTTCTTGACCATGTGTTGGATAATTGCAATGTGATATGGAGTAAAACAGATGACAAATGCAACAATTACAAAAATAATTATGTTGATGGCCTTTTTGTTTATCCCTGATTTTTCAGTTAATGGGTTTTCCTTAGCAGTTTGAAAAAGTTTGCAACTAATTTGTGAATAACAAAATAGTATAATTCCAAGAGGAATGATGTACCCTATTAAACAGGCACCAAGAAGTATCCATGGTAGATGCTCAATTTTTTCAAAGTTTGGATATTCCATGCATGTAGTCCTTTCGGTCTCCTCATTTGACATGGAATGTATAAGCAATGGAAGTGTTTGGCTAAATACAAGACACCAGACAAATATGCAAATATACTTGGCATGTTCAATTCTTCTCATTTTGTGGTATCGGAAAGGGTGGACTACAGCAAAAAACCTGTCAATACTCAAACAAGTCATAAAGTTTACACCTGCATATGTATTGATGTAAAATATGAGAGCAGTTAGTCTGCAAAATATTTCTCCAAATGGCCAATGAAATCCTAATGCATAGTAAATTATTCGTGTAGGCAGGGCAGTAGTAAAAAGAAGGTCTGAGAGCACAAGATTTGTGGAATAGAGGGTGGTAGAGTTAATTTTTCTTCTGTTTTTATAAATGACAACAAGGGCAAGTCCATTTCCAAGCACACCAAAAATTAAAATAAAGATGTAAAACACCGGCAGTAAAATCCTTGCTGTATTTTGATGTTCATACAAGTCGCAGGTGTTTGTCTGCAGAGTTGTAAAAGGTGTGATGATGGTGACCATTTTCACAACTGATCCATCTGTAGCAAAAGTCATAGCTCTATAAAAAACAGGAAAACAAAATAGAGCATTTTGTAATATATACAGACAAACTTCTTCCTAGCAGCAGCCAACTGATCTTACAGCAGGCCAACAAAAACCTGAAATGAAACTTGATTATGATGAAATAGGTTTTTTTAAAATTGGTTTTAAAAAAGGTCAGCTCTCTTGATAAAAGAAAACAAAAACATGCAGAAAACAAACTTGGATGAATTGGGGAATTCCTGGGTTAGAAGACTAGAATTTTGTAGAAAATAAGAAATTTTTGAGGTTAGAGAGGGAACTTTTAAAAAACCCTGGGGGTTGGGGGAAGTCCTTTGTGTCATTTTACTTTTAAATAAAACAACAGTCATGTGAAATCACCAAAGATCAGAGAACTACAGAAATCTTTTAAAAATTGTTTCTGTGAATTTCAGGTAGTTTTTATTTGTTTTTTCTTCCTTTTTAATTTATTAAGAGGTTCTGATGATGATATGAAATTTATGACATTTTAACATGTAACTGGAACTTAATTTATAGAGACCAGGCCTTTTCAACATTTTTATTGCCTATAGTAATTGAACCAGAACCTTCCAAACTCACTTAATTCTAGTTCAAAAAAGTTGTTTTCTGTAACAATAGTCCAAATATAATTGATTTCAAGTGTTGACCCTGTCAATGAAGCCTCTCTTCAGTGGTTCTTGGAACAGACATGTAATCTAGGTATAATATATCACATTCATTGATTAAATGGCAATACAGCATATTCAGACTTGTTTAAAATATATTATTAAAAAGTCGGAGGAAGAGTGCTCTATTTCAAAATAAGTGCTATGTAGACGCTCCCAATTTTGAAATAAGCTATTTCGAAAGAAGCTACACAATTGATGTAGCTCACTTTGCGTAACTTATTTCGAGTTAAACCCTGCTGCACCCTCTGAGAGGCTGTTCTACAGTAATCTTCTTCTGCAATGCAGGCTAAATTTTCTTAAGGGTTTCTTATTCCACCTAATGATACTTACATGACCCTCATAAAGTAATTCCTCTACCTTGCTGATACTGCCACCCTTCAAAGATATATGTACTTTTGCTATGATTAGTGAAATTCTCCAAAACATTTTAGCTCTGTTTTTTTTAAAAAAGGTCTCATTGTGTAAATCAATAGAAAATTGATTTGCATTTTTTGATGCTATTGCTACAGATTGAACCTCTCTAGTTCAGCACCCTGGGGACCTGACCGATGCTGAACCAGAGAATTTGCTAAATCACAGGAGATCAATATTGTATAGTAGCATTATCAACACTTCCACTGCTTACTGGGCTCTTACTAGACATTTAAGGGTAAATTAGAGCAAATAACAGCATGGAACACTGGGAGCCAGGACTGGTGGCTGTAAACTTTATAGGACTGCTGGAAATTTGGCCACACCCATAAGTCGATATCTAACTAACTAAAATTATGCTGGATTATGAATGTTGCCAGAGAAGAGAGTGTTGGACTAGCAAGGTTCAATCTATAGTGAGATTTAAAAAACAAAATACCTCTAGTGGAGCCATCTTTATGTGAATATGCGTCGTTACCCATTAACCATGTGTGATCTGATTATTATAACTTGTTTCTTTCTTCTCCCTTCCCCCTTTTATCTAGTCTATAACCTACGTGTCATGCCTGAACATAATTTAAAAGTGCTTCAAGAACCTTGCCTGTCTCCATTTCCATGAAGTACCTAGCACACTTTTCTCAATGCTAATAATGTTGTTGTTGTTGTAATTATTATTATTATTATTATTAATAATACTAAAAATAATTAACAGAAGGGTTTGAAAATTAGTCAGAAAGACAGCAGTTTGCCTCTCACTTTCCACTCAGGACTGGGCCCTATGAATACCTTTGCCACAGGATATTTGATTTATGGGAGATGGGGAGCAGTGCTGCTGCTGATGTTGGAACTTCCACAAGATCTGTTGCAGCTGGTGCCCAACGTGACCTCATCGGGCAGACTAGACTGTTCAAGACTGAGGTACAGACTGGTCTAGTTTATTAAATTCAGGATGATGAACTGGAGACTCCTGTATTGACTTCCCAACTTGGACTCAGACTCCCTTTGTGTCATGGGAAGGATCAATAATCACTTCTGACGTTGGTTCCTATTTACAAAAACTTCTGACAGTTGAGGGAAGAGAGGTAGGCAACAGCAGTGACACCCAACCTAAGTTATTTGAGTAACTGTTCTTAAATAGTAGATCTTAAAAAAGGTTGGCAAATGCATACATTATAAAAGTTGTCTAAATATTTAATAAACAAATGTACTTTAAGTGCATAAATGGGGGTTATCTTGATTTTAGTAAGACAGTTGATACTAGCTTGTATGACCATCATAAACAAACTAGAGAAATACAATCCTATGTGGAGCTACTCTAGAGCGGGTGCGTAACTGTTTGGAAAACTATTCTCTGGAAATGTCTATCTTCACAGTTATGCTATAAGGGCATATCAAGTGGGGTCCCATGGGGGTTGGTTCTTAGTCCGATACTGTTCAATATGTTCGTTAGTGATGTAGAAAGTGGCATAGAGAGTACCCTTATAAAGTTTGCAGACAGTACCAAGCTGGGAAGGGTTGCAAGTGCTTTGGGGTATTATGTGTAACCTTTGAGGTATTATTCAGTACACAGCATTTAAAAACCATTCCAGAGTTCTGCTTCTGAATAAATAAATTATATAGAAAATATCAGAACACATTTCTAAGATGTTACAGATTAGTAGCTTTGCAACTTAGTTTCTTTCTATTAAGATGCAGAAGAATTAAACAATTCTTTCTCTCTCTCTCTGATCATAATGTCTTGTTTGTTTCAAGTTGGTCACCATTCAATTTACGTATAGAGCACACTGTATCATAATATTTATCTGGTTATTGCATTCTGGCTTGAGTAACAACAGTTTTTAAAGTTCTTCATAAAGAATAAATCTGTAGCTTTGTGGATCACATATTTCAGATTTTAAATTAGCTATAAAAATCTCCATATAGTGCCTTAATGTCATGGAGTTTTAGTAAGATAATTTTTTCCAGAAATAAACTATCTGGAAGAGTCTATCCGGTCCTAGCTGTACTATTACAGAAGACTGTGAGAGAAAGAATGATCAGACAATTGGTACTGCTAAATATTACTGGTAAGCAGTGGCACCTTTTTTCTTGACGGTATATAGAATACATGCCATATATCAGAGGTCAGAATATTGCATGCTGCATTGGAATTTAAATCTGAAATGGATTTTTATACCTTAAGACACTTGGCTACAGGTTTTTGGGGGTTTAGTTTGGACTCTTTTTGGGATTGCTGAATTTTTTTCAAGTGATAAACTTGAAGCAATGAGTTCTTCATGCTTTCAGAGGAGAGCCTAATTTCAATTTATTGTCAGTAACTTCTGTACTTTGAATAGGAAAACTTGGTATAAAGTAATATCCATTATTTAATGTTCATGAAAGCAAACTTGCAGGCATTAGTCTCACAGGGGTAGCTGTGTTAATCTGTAAGGATACAGCTACACTGCACCCTTAGCTTGAAATAAGATGTGCAGTTTGCCCTACACAAATTGCATATCTTATTTCTATTCTATTTTGAAATAGGCTATTTTGAAATTTAGTGCTCTACATAGTGCCAAATTTTGAAATAACGCACTATTTTGAGACATCCCTTATCGCTCATGGAACGAGGTTTACAGGGATGCCAAAATAGTGCATCTGCTATATTTTGTAATAGTGGATGCGTTCAAAAGATGCGGGGTAGCTATTTCGGGATATCTGTGGACCCAAAAAAGTTTCTTCACCCCTACTATATATGGCCATTTAATAGTGCATCTGTCTTTGTGAGGATGGCTCTGGTTTTCTTTCCTATTTCTTCTCATATCTCTTGGTGACGTGTTATTCCTTTGTAAAATCATATAGGCTAGATCTTTTAATTGTTTCCCACTGCTGTTAAAGGCCTTCAGAGTCATATTAAAAAGAAGAATTCTGAGTGCTTCTAAAAGCATTTAAGTACAGGAAACTGGTGTTTCTTAGGTTCTTTTCTTGTATTTGATCTTTTCTGGCCACATCTTCACCGTCCCAAGATGGTATCCCTGTTTCCCTTAGCTCTCCATCAGAGACTAGACATTTCCCACAGCAAAAGAATATATAAAATCCTTAACTTAATCAGTTAGTCCAAGAGTGGTTTTCCCCCTGTTCCTTGAGAGCCAAGCTGCCTTCTATTTGTTTCTTAACAGTAATCATTGCTTAACTCATTATGTGACTAAAATACATGACTCCTTCCCCCGAACTTCTATGACAATCCACTAGGTGGTAGAAAAGGACAATAGTGTTCTAATAGTGCTCTTGCCTGACTCAAAGTGGAGATCACTTTTTCAGTGTTCCAAGCCTCAGCCTAATTAAGCAGTAACTTGTCTTCCATGCCCTTGATAGAATTACATTGTGTTCCCATTCAGCCATTGGTTCAGGTCAGCACTATGCACTGAATTGGTGATTTACCACAACAACGTTGTCATACATCACAATATGCTTTTAGGCAGCCTCCAAGAACTGCTACTTGAATGCTTTTACTTAAATATATTGTTAAACTAAAAGTCCCTCTCATGTCACCTGTTTTGAATTAGACCTTCTATGTGGTTATTTTTTCAAGATAATAATAAGAACATAAAACGAACATATTGGATCAGACCAAAGGTCTATCTAGCCCAAATCCTGTCTTCTGACAGTGACCAATGCCGGGGTATCCCTCAGGGAATGAACAGAAGAAGTACTAATCAAATGATCCATTCCCTGTCACCCATTCCCAAATTCTAACAAACCGAGGCTAATCACATTGATGTGCCTATCCTCCATGAATGCATCTAGTTCTTTTTTTTTACCCCTATTTAATTCCTGGTCTTTGCAACATCCTCTGTCAAGGAGTTGTATACGTTGAAGTAGAAGAAATACAATGTGTGAAGAAATACTTCTTTTTGTTTGTTTTAAACTTGCTATCTGTTAATTTTGTTTGATGACCCCCAGTTTTTGTGTTAAGGGAACAAGTAAATAACTTGTCCTTATTAATTTTCTCCACATCATGATTTCTGTAGACCTCCATCATTTCCCCCCATAGTCATATCTTTTCCAAGATTAAAAGTCTTATTAATTTCTCCTCATATGACTGCCTTTCCATATACCTAATCATAGATAATTAGAGATAATAAAGATGCACAGTGATTTTAAAAAATGTGTTGTTCCTTATTACAAAGATACATCAAGAAATCTATCTGCAAATTTCATCAAACACTTATGCTCTTGATATATCAATAGTTTGCTTCCTTGCACTGCATATTAGGCTGATAAATGTGACTAGGTCAGTATTAGACCTGTATGAATAGTAGATTCTCAGTTTTTAATCATGATTGACTCATCAAGTTAATATAATGTAGAAGTTTGAAAAGCATAACTCTTAATTGTACCACTTTAGAAAGCACTGCCCCAATTCCTAGACTACAAAATGGATATTTCATGCTACTGGAAGTTATAGTGATATGGCTACTTTGATTTTTAATTCTGTTTGAATGAGACAATGTAAAAGAATGGGTGCACTGTGGGCTGCAAATACTCTGATCACATTTAATAATAGATTAATAGATTTTTAAGGCCAGAAAAGAACATTTAATAATGTATTACAACCTTTATATAATATGGATTATAGAATTATACTACTTACCCCTTTATTGATCACAATAACTTTGTGTTTGACTATAGCGTTACTATTTTAATTAAAATGCTATGCTGTACTAAGATGTTTTATAGAAACATAAGGCCTGGTCTGCTCTTGGATTTAGACTGACAGAGCTATGTTATTCTGAGGTGTGAGCCGATCTAGCTCCCAGCGTAGTCTGGGTTAGGTCATGGAAAGAATGCAAGAATTACGTACAGTGATGGAAATTCCTTCTTTCACCATAGGAAGTATCCACACTGTGGCACTACAGTGCCAAAGTAAAGCTGCCGTTGCACCTGTAATGTAGACATGGCTTATGAAATATTACATCTGTGCAGAATTATTTTCCATAAAGCCATGCTGGCAATAATTATATTAATATCCTTCAATTCATTATTAATTGAATGTCATATGAGAATTTCTATTATTTTGCCCAGGATTTATGTCAAGTTCTCCAGCCTATGACCCAGGTTGTCCTGCTTCCCATTTTTAAATAATGGCACAACTATTTCATTGGATTAGATACTTGTTGTTACTAAATGATAATATCATGTTTTGTTTTATATTTCTGTGGTGTCACCCAGGGGTTTTGGCCAGGTTAAGATCCCCACTGTGCTGTTTCTATATAAACAAGCCATGACTTCCGCCTTAAGAAGTTTATAATTCAAAATCCCTGATCCTGCAAACATTTATTCAAATGATTAACTTTACACAAGCATGTAGTCCCAGTAAATTCAATGGAACTGTTCATGTGCATAAAATTAAATATGTGCATAAGTATTTGCAAAATTGGGGCCTTAGATTGTAGACATTTGAACTGCATATAAGAGATGCAATTCTTTCTGCTCCATACTGGCCTAGCTGACTGATTTTTTTTCTCTTTTTGTTTTCTCCTTTTGATATTGTCATAGGATGTATGAATGAAAAAAACCTATTATATTGTCACTAAGGTGTGGCATGTATAAATATCTACAACTTCACATAAAACATTATCCATAAATTGGAGTAATCTATAGAGCCCTGCATGGATACAAAATTTGTATCCACATCTGTATTCACAAAAATGAGATATGGATATTCACATTGACATCCAGGGATATAAAGCAGATATCCATGGATGTGTGGGGCTGTCGTGATTTGTATATCTTTTTGTTGTTATAATTTTTATTGTTTGTAAGAGAGCAAGTATTATAATAGTGATGGACAATTGCTGTGTAGAAATAAGATTGGCTTATTTATTCTAATATTTCTTTAAAACAAGGCAACGAATGATAATTTATTTTATAGTTGGTTAAAAAGAGAACAAAAGGAAGGTGAGAGGAGGGAAGAGAGTCTAGCCACCAAATTCTCTGCTGGCTTGACTCCTGTGATCTGTGGATTGAGATTTGTCAAGAGATCTTTTTCAATAAAGAGTGTAAACACTGCAGTCCTGTGGGATTTTTGTTTGTTTGTTGTAATTATTCTAGTATGTTGCTCTTATCCTTATGAATTTTTCGAATTTGTCTGTTTCTTCCGAGTGTGACCTAAGTTGCAAGAAAAGTTTAGTGATCTGGTGGCAGTCTTAGCACTACATCTGAAAGGTTTGAGTATATTTAACGTTTGTCAACATGATGGATTTCTTTTCTTCCTTCCTTCCCTGACCTAGACTAAGGGACTCTAACATCACACTTCAGTTTGACAAGTTGTACATTGTGCATAATTTGAATGTTAAGAGACAATAGAAGAAACAGTATAACCAGAGGTGAAAGTAAGTGCCCTGATGCACAGCTCCAACAAGAGCTGGCTGAGCTTCAGCAAAAGCCAGCAGGGAGCTATTTAAAGAGCTGGTAGGAACCCAGGTTGTAATAGGACAGTACCTGTAAGAAATTTTAAGTTACTTTCACCCTTGAATGTAACTCAGTGGCATCCTGTATAATCCCAGTTTAAATTTTCCTTTCGCCTCGGCCATCTTGTTCTGATTTGCCATTTTTTATTATCAAAATATATTAGTTTTAACAAAGTTATGAATATTTGAAAATTGCATGCTAAATGAGTGCAATAGAACAGCTTTTCTCAAACTGGAGTCTGTAGACCCCTGGGGGTTCACGGGGCCCCAATGATCATCTCCTCCCCCTCTCTCCTAGGCAGGCTCTCTCCACCTGCCCCACTTCTGTGCAACTCTTGGAACCAGGTCCCTCTGGCCTATAGGCACATGGGTAGCCTTGGAGGCTTTGTGCACTGACACTGCCCAACTGCTAGCTCTTGCAGCTCCCATTGGCCAAGAACCATGACCAGTGGATACTGTGGAGGTGGTACCTTGATGCTCAAGGAAAGTGCTCAGAGTCTCACTAGCCGCCTATGCACATGGGGACCTGTTGGCCACTTGCTGAGAGCCACAGTAAGTACCACTGGGATCCTGAACCCCAAATCCCTGTATCAGCCCAGAGTTCTCTTATGCACCCAAACTCCCTCCTGGGAGCTTGCATTCCCCCCAACACTGTGCCCAAACCTGGAGCTCCCTCCTTCACGCAAACCCATGATCCCCATACCAGAGCCTGCACTCCAACCCACTTCTTCAGTCTGGTAAAAGTGAGTGAGGGTGTGGGAGAGCAAGACACAGAAGGAATGGGGATGGCATGGGGGCAGACCCTTGTTGAAAAAGCAGGGCAAGAGGGTCCCCAAAAATGTCTAAATCAAAATTGGGGTCCTCAGTTTGCTAAAGTTTGAGAACTGCTTCAATAGAATGTTTAAGGTATAATGTGCTTATTTTAGAAGAAAGACTGGTGTGCATTAGCCACTTGGTAAAATGAACAAGATTTCAAAACAGATTGTGGGGCTGCAGAAAGGCTTGCGGCCTTTTAGCACTTTACAATGATAAGTGAGAGTGATGGACAGAAACACATTGGAAAAGAAATATATTTCATTTCAGCTTCCAAAGGTAACTTTTAAACCACTAGTACATAAAAGATTTAAATAAGTCTCAAAAGCCCTGGCATTGTTGTAAGAGAGGGTTGAGAGAGAAAGTGTGAGTAAGAGAGAAAGAGCACGAGCCCAGGTGGTTTCTCAGACACTTATCCAATTTTGTTGTTGCAGGAAAATGCCTCTACTAGTGGGAACAGAGGACATTAAAGGCATAGAAACTTATTTGTTGTGTGGTGTAACAGAAGCTTCAAAACTGGTGGATCATTTATTGGCACACAAAGAGCTAGCTTGTTATATTGTTCTGGTGTGCCTTGTTTTCAGTGATTATGTTGGATTAAAAACAATGACTAGTCCTGTGGCACTTTAGAGACTAACTAACAGGACTGCTTGTTGTTTTTAAAGTTACAGAGTAACATGTCTACCTTTTTGAGATTTTTTTAATGTTGGGTTTTTTAATGTTGGATTTTTTTAATGTTGGATTATAGCTTTAAAAATATATTAAACAGTTCTGTAATATTTTGCATGTAAATAAGCATAGTTTTCATAGTGATGCTATCTATTTCTGAATAAGAGTAAGTATTGCCTGGCTGAATGGGAGAGAAGGTGTCCACTTAATGAATTTCTCTCTCCGCATGTGGTCTTTGTGGGTTATGAAAACGTGAGACTCACTAGTGTGACATCTGTAGTTGGTAGGTATGATTTAGTGCATAGACCAAACTAATGTTGAGACAATTAAAGTCCTTTCACTTAGTTGCTTAAAATTTCTAAACTGAATAAGGAAAGAATAAAAAAATGTAGCAGTAGAAGAACTCTGAAACATTTAAAATGACACAATGTCAAGTAACATTTCAAACTGCAACTTGTAGTTTAGCACTTTCATAACCTAGAAATATTGGTGATATTACATGCTCCCTTATAACTAATAAATGTTTCTTATTGATGTGTAACCTGTCCTGGTGCTGTTTCTCTTTAATCAGTTTTATTTCTTAAAAGCTACATAGCTATAATGACTGTCTGTTCAAGAACAATTATGGAGACATTTTCTGTCTCTGTATTCAAAGGGTGCTATTCAGTGTGTCTATTCAAGTGCTAGAAACATGAACTGTTCGGTTAATAATACATATAACTAACAAAAGTTCATCTTTGTAACCTTTTTGCTCTGTGTTCAAAGATTTGTGCATTGTCTTTATTTTGTTCGGAAAGTTAAATGAGAATTCAGAGTTGCTTAATGTGAAAAGAGGTATTTTTTTATGTTTTACTTCAGTATAAAATGTTATCAGGTCTTTTTAAGTAGGGGAGACTTTTAAAATTCAAATAGCCAATAAGATTGCATTAACTTCAGTTAATAAAGATACTTGGGCATAATTGTATGTTGGAAAAAGGAGTAACTATACAGAAAAAGCTTTGAAGAGACAATACATGTCAAAAGATGAAGGAGAAATTATTACAAGTACCATGGCAAATTCTAATTACTGTTTTAAAGCATGAGTTGAGTCAAGATTGAGAAACAGTTGGGCTGAGAATAGCCTAAAGACTGTTTCATAACCTAGAAAAAACTTTAAAAACCAAAAAATGGTCCTACAGCACCTTAGAGACTAACAAGAATGTACATTTTTGTTAGTCTCTAAGGTGCTGCAGGATCATTTGTTGGTTTTTTAAGTCTTTTCAGTTACAGACTTATACGGCTACCCCTCTGAGACTCATAGCCTAGAAACATTTACTACAAGCTGTTTGCTGCTGTAGTATGTATGCTTTTAGAAACTCTCAAACTGTTAGTGTCTAACCAGCTTAATTGACTTAGAAATATGAAGTCTTTGATTAATAAACATTGAAATATTTACTAAAAATATTTTCTTCCATATTAATTGTCTCTGCATTGCTATAGTTTAAATCACATTATTTTTGCAAAAACTGGCTATCTTTAGGCAGCAGTGAATTTTTGCATTTTGTTTTTCAAAAGGCTATATTGTAAATAAAACATTAATTCAACCTGTTAATCGTTGGACCCAAAGATGAGTTGGCACCAGGATTAAAAACATATAGATAGTCTTTGTTGTAACTTGCTTTAGCAAACTTTCCTAGTAGCATAGAATTTCTCCTGATGATATTTCTCTCTCCCACCCAGAAAGAATATATCCATCCACCCACATGAGAAAATTCAATCTATTGCAAGTATATATTAACTTTCTGGAATTGTTTGTTGTCTTTCAATGACAACAACAAATAATTTTTCAGTACTTACATATCAATGGCTTTTTAGATCCTCTGTGCAGTAATTGTACGTGGCAATGTAGAGTAACTCTGAAAGTTCCCCTTTGCACATTGTTTTTAAGAGTAATTACATGAGCCTGCCCTTTTATGGAGTGGTGATTTTTTCCCCTCTCGTGCTTGAAGTATTATTTTCTTCCTCTGACGTTGATTCATTACCTGAGTTTTTAGAGGAAGTGAAAACACCTATCTTTTTGAGGTGTCTTTTTGCTTCTTTTAAAATTTGTTTTAAAAAAGATTAACTAGAAACAAAAAGCCCCTATAAGTTATGTAGGTGGGACTTTACCAAGACTATAATTTAGTTTAATCTTTAACCAAATAAAAATTCCCGAAAGAAGATTTTTTCATATTACTTTCAAAAGAATCTATGTGTCTTAAATTGGTGTGTGGCAAAAGGCTCTGTACTTAAGAATCAGTGTTTATTTTAAAACTAGCCAATTAGCCCGTCATAAGATGGGATTTTCTTCTCTCTCTCTCCCTCTCTCTCCATGGCGGGAGGTGAAGGGGGGTGGGGCGGTGATGTACATGGCTGGGCCCCGCCCCCGGCCATGTACATCACCACCCCATCCCGCCTTCGCGCAATGGCGCTCGGCTGACTTTTGCACCACTCAGCTGGGCTGCCACAGAGGAGCAAGCAGCCATTTGGGTCCTGCACTCCCCATGCAGCATCCCCATGCTGAATGGGGACCGCGGCACCCAAACGGCCGCTTGTGCCACTTGCTTCCCCATGGTAGCCCGGCTGCGCAGCGCAGAAGTCAACCAAGCACCATGGTGGGAGGCAAAGGACATGACTCAGGCAACAGCACCGCCCAGAGGGAATAGCCAGGGAGGCAACAGCACTGCCCAGAGGGAAGAGCCAGCATTTCAGCGTAACAGAGTCATAGACATTGGGCTATTTTTATTTTAAAATGCTTTGCAGATTATTCAACTAAATGAGATGGTGATAGATGTTATGTGAAAATAGTACTTTCAGTAGTCCATGTTCATGACTTCGGTGCTTCAATATAATAGAGAAAGGTATTAATTGAAAATGTGTATAATAAAACGGAAAAAGTGGGTGAGGAAATAACTTTTATTGAGAAACATGGGCTTTTGAGCTACACAGAGCTAGGGTTGCCAGGTGTCCAGTTTTCACCCGACTGTCCTTTATTCAGGTCTCACGTCCGGTAAAAAACCCAGAAAATACTGAATATGTGAAATGTCTGGTATTTCCTGTTTCCCTTCGACGGAAGCCCGTTGGGGACAGTTTTTCCCTGCTACGTCTGGTGGAGGAGTGAGGAGTGCGGGGTTATTTAATGACGCAGCACCTCTTTCTCCCCCCTTTCCGCCCCTCACCAACTTTGGTCCCTCCCCTCCTTTTTTTTTTGCTCAGTTTTTTCCCTGTGTTTTTTTGGGGGTGGGAGACGTGTTCGGAATTTTTTGTTAAACCATCTGGCAACCCTATGCAGAACCCATCTACAAGTGTATCTTGAAAACTTACATCTCTCATCAACAGAAGTTGGTCCAGTAAAAGATACAACCTCACCCGTATTCTCTTTCTAATATGCTGTGACTGATATGCCTACAACACTTCATGAGTGGTAGTGTGTGTATTCTAGTCACTCTAGGGCTTGTGCCTTCTCCTTTAGTTTTCAGAATGCTCACTGATCACTTGGATTACTAGGGCAATACAAATAATAAATAAAAGTACAAGTATAAAGATATCCATGTGCCACAAATAATCAACTTTTAAAAACATTAAAAATTGATATTTGAAAATTTTATGGTGAGCTTTTGTCATCTGATACAACTTTGTTTCTGAGTAAACATTTTTTTTCAAATAATTAAATCTTCTATTTGCTAACAAGATTGTTGAGATCACTAACCTATGAAAAATTCAGTCACTTGCTTTTATGACTGTGATGTAAAATTACTTGGGGTTTCCCCCAGAAACTCCTACAGATCAGTGCTGCATAGTGGGCTGTGTTTAGTGGCCTGGTTTAGTGACCTGGTTTTAAAACCTGAGTGGGTAGCATGATTAGGAAGTATATTACTAAGGGATCCAATCCTTTTAGATGCTGAGCCTCCACAAATCCATGCAGCTGTGTACAGTGAAATCTTTGTTATCCAGCACTCTGTTAGCTAGAAAACTTTGTTAACCGGCATTGCCCCCGGCCACAATACTGTCACATCTTCAGGCGCACAGGCCTGGCTTGGTTTACCATGACTGGCTTAACAAATTTTTATTTAAGAAGTACTAATAATCTTTTAACTCAGAATAGAAATGTGAGACCAACTGTCTCACACTACAAAACTACCAATATTGAAAACTTGAGTTTTACTATTATTGTCCATTGGTTTTTCCTAGGTTGATGGGACCCTCAGATAATCAGAATTTTTAGGTAACCAGAATGCCCTAATCCCTGAGCGTGCTGGATAACACAGGTTTTACTATAGTTGTTTAGAACTTCCAGCACCTCATTAGTTCAGGCACTTGTGGTGTATTTCTGTTCCAGCACCAGATCAGAAGGGCTTTAGGATGATGTATCTTTTTTTTTTTCCTGAGTGGGCAGAGGGAGAAGGAGGAGTTAAGCTGCATCATTACATGCTTTACTACAGAATAGAATCCATTTCTATGAGAAATTGTGAGAGAAACTAATTAGCTGGAGGGCTAATGTTTGAATGGAAATTACACAAATCACGTGTGATTGGATAAAACAGTAGTGCCAGTCTATTCTGTTCCCAGCAGTAAAATTACATAGTGTACCATAAGAAATTTCTTGTGTAGCACCCCCTTTCTACCCGATTACCTTCTTTAATGCCAATCTGCCTACAGGTTTTGGTGGACAGGTCTGGGTTCTTCTGGATCCCGCCACCCACTCAGCAGGGTGTATCTTCTTTATTTTTTTCTATGAATTTATGTGGCGGTGCCTCCATCCCCCTCACTCCTTCCTGGCAGGGTCACCAGGGCAGCTTGGGAGGAAAATTCTAACCACAGGGTAATCCCCACTTACTTGCCAGATAGTTGAAGACTTCAAAAAATAACATAAACACATACAATCTATTCAATACAATAATTATATTAAACAGGAAACAATTATAATAGGGTAAAACTATTTTTAGGGTCACCGGTGCCCATGCTGCTAATACCCGTGACTTTCCTCAGTCACGTGACTTGATGTAGCAATTGTAAGTGTCCCGTTGGTACACGTACTTTGTTGAGGACCTTGATGACCTATGACAACAAAATTCCTCTCTGCAGTGGTTTAGCAATGTGGCTTAGTGGGTTCAGTACTGCCCAAAGGACTCACACGCGGAAGAAGGTGGTAAATCCCTCCACAGGTTTAATATTCAGCATGTTATAAAAACCCCAAACCCTTACTCCCTGGCTTGGTGACACAGTTCAGGGAGTAGAGCCGTGGTCCCCAACACGGTGCCCGCGGGCGCCATGGCATTTCTCTGCGCCCGCCAAGTGCTTAGGTGGCGCACGGTGAGCGCTGGCCCCGGGGGCGCTGCGGATTCACCCCCCGCGGCGCATGGGGGGGAGAGAGCGCCAGCGCCGGCCCCGGGCGCGCGGCGCTTGGGGGGAGAGCGCCAGCCTCCGGAATGCGGCTAAGGGGGGGCCACGCCCCCGGCCCCGCCCCCC